GGGGTGGGGGGAGGGCACAAAGGAGGAAGTGGTGTACCCACAACATGACTAACAATAATGTACAACTGAAATCTCACAAGATTGTAATCTATCATAACATTAATAAAAAAAACCCCCAAATTTTAACAACACTGAAAGCAACATTTTACTAATATAAGTCTAATATAGATATCTAAATTCACAAACCCCTGAAACACAGGGTTGCAATCTTTTATCAGCCCCCACATCAAACTTGTTTCAAAATTCAGTTCTGCTGTTCTGAGAAATCCCAAGTCGGTGCCAAAAACCACAGAGGTGGCCCTCCTGTGAGCTGCCCTTGCAGCCTCCTACCTCTGACACCTCGACAGGATAAAGATGGTGCCAAATGGCAGAAAGGGCCCTCACTCCTCAGGGTGGTATAGGGACTGGGAGAGGGTAGGAACAGAGCCCGGGGCCCAGCCCGCCTGCCGGGGCAGAACTGCTAGCAGGGCTCTGCAGCAGAGACAGCCCACTGGGGGCGGCAGCCACAGGGGACAGGTGGGAGGACGGCCGGGAGGCCAAAGAATTCAACGCACAAAACCCGATGCTCAGGGGCAGGTCTGAAACCCCCGCAGGTGTCTCCCTGTCCAGTGCTCACCCACTTGTCTAAAATCCACACTCATTTTCAGAATATCTAAGCTACAACAGGTACATATTCAGCAAAGTTAATTCTATCAAGCTTTAAAACCAGCAAGACCTCTTTGGAGGGTGGAACACCAACGATGAGATTCTCTGCCTGTGCTTCCACATGAATCTCCCATGGCCCAAGGACACCGACGAGCCCATCCATGCTACACGCCTGTCCACAAAACACGCCATCATGGCCACCGGCAATTTCAGGCGGAGCCGAGCCACGGGCACAAGAGGCCTGATCCTGCAGTCCTGGGTCCTCACAAACACTGCAGAACAAACTTTTAAGTGGACCCCTGTATTACATTGTATTTACTTATGCTCAGACTCCTCAGAGAAGTTGATACAGTAAAACTTTTATTCAACAGATAACCACTCCCTGTGATTTCAGGGGACTCTCCCCCAATATGGCTATTGCACAAATGCAGATGGTCACAATGACACGTAAGTAAACTGAGACAGTCTGGAGAGAGGGTTTCCAACCGGCAGCCCAGGAGCGTGCCCTCCTGGTCCACACAGCAAGTGGGGAAGCGAGAGAGGCCCAGAGCCTGGGTGTCGTGTTGAAACACAGTGATACCATTCATCCATTCACTCACAAATGCTCCGACCCTGCTGCTCTAGGACCTGGGGAGACACCACGAACAGGAGGAAAACCTGTGCCTTCGGGGATGACATTCTAGGGGAAGAAAGAAGAAATGAGCAGGACACATGGGCAGATTCCATGAGGCTCCAAGGGGAGAAGAGTCGTGATAAACAGCAGTGCAGGGGCAGGGCCAGGAACCAGGTAGGGGCTGCAGTGCTGAGGAGAGTGGCTGGAGGCAAACGCTTACAGAGCTGAGAGCAAAGCCAGGGCAGGCGGGTCGGCAGGGACAGGGCACTCGGGCGGGCAGGTGTGTGCGGAACAGGAGGGAAGCCATGCAGCGGGAGTGAAAAAGATGGGGGTGGGAGAGGCGAGGAGGGGAACGAGCTCGCGAGGGGACAAGGCCTGGGTTAGCAGTCTTCCCTTGCTGCGCCAGCCCTGCCACGCATCGCTGCCACCCCTAACAGGGGCAGTCATGCCCCTGTGAATCAGGAACAAGGAAATCGGGATTCTTGCAACATCCACTGAGGCTGTCAGCCCCTGGGGCTCAGCCTGTCCACGTTTCTGATCGAGGCTTTCTGGGGCTCTGAGGCTCCTGATCGAGGCTTTCTGGGGCTCTGAGGCGGGGGGTGACCTGGAGACTCTGCTCTCTTGAGCTCTGAGCCCTGCCCTCCCTCTGTAATCAGCTAGATGCTGGTGTGTGGAGGAGGAGCCCACAGCAGCACAGCTCTGGCTCCCAGCTGTCTTAGAGGAACAGTCAAGTGCCCTTGATCCCGGGGAGGCCCTCCAAGTGGAAGAGAATTTGGAGGGGGGAGGGCAATTTGCATTCTTCGGAGACCCCACGGCGCTGCTGCATTCTTGCTGCACAAGCAGCCCAGAGAGTCACAAACAGCTCCCAGGCAAAGCGCCCCCTGCGAAGCACCCCGGGACTGTCTCTGCTTGCCCTTAGCAGTCACGCCCCTTAGCCCGACAGCTCAGTCGCCCCCTGCTCCTCCCCCAGCCCAGTCTTCAGCCTCAGTGCAGCAATGGCAGGTTGGAGAGAGCAGTGCTGAGAATCACAATGTGGCAGGGGCCTCAGTCAGCGCCAGGAAGGAGCGTGTGCAGGCTGGGCCTGACCATCCTTTTCTGAGAGTCACCTTGGCCCACCCCCCTGGCCAGGAGGCTAAGGGAGCCAAACATAGGTTTATGTCTAGAAGGTGAACTTGGCCTCAGCCTGCTGCCCTGAAAGGCATCTTTAAGCTGCAGACTCTCTGTTCATCTAAAATCATTAAAGGTCCTGCAGCTTAAAAATCCAACACAGGGGGCTGGCCCGGGGCCCAAGTGGTTAAGTTCGCAGGCTCTGCTTCAGCAGCCCAGGGTTTCACCAGTTCAGATCCTGGGCATGGACCTATGCACGGCTCATCAAGCCATGCTGAGATGGCATCCCACATAACACAACCAAAAGGACCTACAACTAGAATACACAACTCTGTACTGAGGGGCTTTGGGGAGAAGAAGAAAAAAAAAGATTGGCAACAGATGTTAGCTCAGGTGCCAATCTTAAAAAAAAAAATAAATAAATAAAACACAGAAAGATAAAGGTGAAGCTGTGGTGGGTGAAGGTGGAGGCGGCAGGAGCCCCAGAGCCTGCCTGCTGGCGCCCGTCCTGGAGCCATGCCTGGGGTTCTCGGGACGGGGTCTGAAAGGGACTGCCTTGGCCCATGGGCTGCCACCTCTGTTGTCATGTCGACCACTACCGTGCTAGATTTTTAAGTGTCTTTCTCTAAACCCCAATATCATCTGTCAACAAACAGGCTCACAAGGTCTCCTGAAGCTTTTCTACACAGTAACCACTTCTAGACTCTCACTCAAGCAGAAACAAGAGGATAAAGATCCCTTCTCAATTCTCTGCCTTTCTGGGACTAGAAGGCACTGACATTGGTCTTGTTGCCCCTCCATGTGCCAGGCTCTAGCCCAGACACTCCCACACGTTCCCTGGGCTCACATGGCCAAGGGCAGGGGTCACTGCCCCTCTTTCTCAGAAGACGAGACTGAGGGTCAGAGAGGTGGAAGGCTGGCCTAGGTTGCACTGCTCTAAACGGCTCTAAAAGCTGGGACTCAGCCTGCCTCATCCTCTCCACTCTCTGGCGGCTAAGGCTCCAGGCCGTGAGAGGACAAGGCCCAAGCCTCTCCAGCCCTGCCTCTTTTTGGTGGCCACAGACAGGAAGCTGGACTTCAGTGAACAGTGACTTCTGCAGCCCAGGGACCCCTGCTTTCAGGGACCCCTTCATGAGGAAATTCACACTCGACTAAAATGCAAGCTCTGAGCTGCTAGGCAGAGAGCCTGGGAGCTCTTCCAGACGGACGCTCCAAGGGGCCAGCAGGGCTTCAACAGTGGGAGTGCTGGGTTAGCACTGTGCTGAGGCAGGCGGCCTGCTGAGTGTGGGATCAACAAGGCCATGCTCCACTGGCTGGGGACGGTCCACCCCACAGGAGAGCCCCTGCACGGCCACCAGCCTACAAACCTGTGCACACCAGGAGCCTGGCCTCAGGGGTTTCCTGCGCTCTGCTGCTTCCGCAGTCCGAGCATTCCATGATTTGAGAACTACCATGATGTGATCCAAACACTAAGGGTTTTTACCACGTTCACTTTTTCCACCTTTTCCCCTTGAATAAACACTGTATTCATGATGTGAGTTACCGTGTAAATCAACGGACATCTTGGGCCTCACTCAAGGCAGCTGGCAGCACAGCCTCCCTGCAGGGACGTGGGCACCCCTGCTCCCGGGAGCTCACAATCATCCTCTCATGACCTCTGCAGCCCACGGAGCAGCTCCCAGGTGCAGTCAGCCCAAATGCATGAACAGAGTGGACAAGGACACACGGCCTAACAGCCTTCCTTCGAGGGTGGCCCCATGCAGAGCTCTGCCTCACCAGGCCTGTGCTCAAAGCCACCCCATCACCGCCGACAGATGGAAAACTGAGGGTCTGGGGGAGCGCTGGGCACCAGGCCACTAAGTGTCAGGGGACAGGGTCGGGATCTTTCCCTCCAAAGAGGCACCCTTCACCACTACACTCTGCTCAGCAGGACAGCTCTGCTCCTGCCTCCATCTCCACATGGCAGCAGCCAGTGTCCCTCCCCGCCGACCTGACAGCAGTGTTGGGAAGACCACCACACTGCAAAGGGGACAAGCGGGGAGACCAAGAAAGAGCCCCCAGCTGGACCATCCACGCTGGAATGCTGGTGTGGTCACCTGAAGAGCCCCAGAATATCCACATCCTAATCCCCATGAACATGTGACCTTATGTGGCAAAAGGGACTTGCAGACATGACGAGGTTAAGGATCTTGAGATGAGGAGGTTAGCCTGGATATCCAGGGGGCCCCATGCCATCATAGGGTGCTTATGAGAGGAGGCGGAGGGAGACTTGATCACAGAAGAGGCGGCGGCCATGAGACCACAGAAGCAGAGACTGCAGTGACGCCACCACGAGGCAAGAAATGCAGCTGTGTCTAGAAGCTGGAAGAGGCAAGGAACAGACTCTCCCGGAGAGCCTGCAGACAGAACCAGCACTGCTGACACTTTCATTTTAGTCCATGAGACTCATTTTGCACTTCTGACTTCCAGAACTGTGAAGGAATAAACTGTGCTGTTTGAAGCCACCCAGTTTAGGATCATTTGTTACAGTGGCAACAGGAACCTCACACAACCTTTGCCAGCTGCCAGAGTCTACACACCAGAGGAAGGAGCAGGGCCCAGGGGGCATCCAAGCCGAGAGCCCACCCCGACTTACCAGCTGAGCATTGAAGTTGGGCAGCATCACACAGGTGGCTCCCACCCAGAGTGGACAGAGCAGCTTGTTGACCACGCCGTGGACATGGTGCAGTGGGAGGACGTGGAGGATCACATCGTCTTTAGTCCACCCCCACTTGTGGACCAGCCCGGTCACCTGCAGGACATCAGCAGAGCCTGAGCAGGGGGAAGCCACAGCAGGACGAGGGAGTTCAGAGCAGGCACTCTAGCTGAGAGGAGGAGGAAGGCCATTCTTTGCTGTCCCGCCCTTAACAGGAGATGGTAACAAAACCACCGAGGGTCTGTGGGTTCACCCACTCACCCTCGTGTCAGAGAAGAGAGCCGTACAATTCGGGGCTTTAGCAAATTGGAAAGGGTCTTTGATTTGGGGGTCCCATGGCCTCGGCAAACACTCTTGGTGGCTCTCCCCCAAGGTGGTCAAGAGTTGCAACCACAGCTCCGACAGGCCCTGGGATTCAGGGCCTCACCAGTCCAGGCTGGAATCCAGTCACCGGCCTCTGCTGCCTGGCTGAGCTCCCTGCTGAGTCCACCACTATCCTCGCCCCAGCTCAGCCGTGACAGAACCCAGAGCTGGGTTTTCCAGGTGTATCCGCAGGTTTTACTGAGAAGCAACGTGAGACACGCCCATGTGAACCCTCTGAAATCACTACTGAGGACGTGGTCCTGCAGGGACCGCTACGTGCAAACACAGGCGAGAGACTCACTCCCTTGGAAATATAAGTCCAGAGATGGTCTCTACAGAGAGCAAGTCCGCCTTCCAGGAGAAAGGTAACAGACCACTGCACCTTGCTTACAGCCAGCTGGACTCAGTGTGCCCCTGACTTGGGGGACTGAATTAGCCTGACGCTTGAAGGCACTGATCACTACCTTCCTCTTTGTGGTTCGGAGCTTCTATTTTATCTCATTGCTCCTACTGTGTAAGAGTCTTTACGGTACCTAGAAATACTTTTTGGAAGCAAGAAGGTTATACATTACAGATAAATAAAGGGGCTGGGAGTTTTGCACAGATGTAACTGAGGCTACAGAACACAAAAACAAGGCCTCAGACATGATATGCATGAGTTCCTGCCTACAGGTTTCCCTAATAAGCCCCAATTTGGGGTGCTGATCATACACCCTGCATATTCACTCTGTGGCTGGTCTCCTTGAAGACTACCTGAACATCACGCACAGTGAGTGGCCCCTTCTGTCCTCACACACTAGTAAATCCCTCCACACCTGAGAGCTAGCCCCTTGGCCCTTTCCCAGGAGCCATCCTACGCGGGTTAGTGGACTGGATCCCCTGGCACTGTGACCCTTTATTGCTGAGTATTTCAGGTAGGGCTGGAAGGGTGGTGACAGCTGTGACTGGCCCTACAGAAAGGTGAAGGAACAACAGACCACCCCGGAAGGCACTTCCGACCTACGGACCTGGCCCAGGGGCCACACAATAACTGCTGCTGTAGGCAATGGCCCTGAGAGGGACAGAGCAGACCCCTCCCGATGGTGTGGCCTGAGCGAGCACTCACCACGGCCCTGATGTTGTAGTGGGTGCTCAGGACGCCCTTGGGCCTCCCAGTGGTCCCACTGGTGTAGATGATCATGGCACCCCGGTCTCTCCAGTCCCGCTCTGGTAACTGCCCATCCCCGGCTTCCTCAGCCACGCCATCATAGACCGTAGGCGTGAGAGGCAGGAGCGGGACCCCCAGCTTCCTGACCACCGGGCTCAGGAGCTCCACGTACTCTTGGCCGGCAAGGACCACCGAGCTGCGGGAGTCCTGGATGAAATACTCCAGCTCGGCCTGGGGGTGCTTCCTGTAGAGAGGGACGGCGATGCCGCCGCTCATCCATGAGGCCCACTGAGCCACCACATAGGAGACGTCGTTGGAGCACATGAAGGAGATCCTCTCCTCCTGGAGGTCCCCGCCGGCACACTCACGGAGCCTGCAGATCTCCCGGGACAGGCAGAGGCTGCGGTGGTAAAGGTCCTTGTACGTGTGGTGGCCGTGCTGGTCAACAAGGGCAACTCTGTCCCCGAAGGCCAGGGCACGGGTGAACACCGGGGCGCTTCTGTCAGAGCAGGCTGCTGGGGCTGCATGCAGGAGGTGGATTCCTTCGTGTCTCAAGGGAGCCGGCCGGTGGGAGGCCAGGGCCCAGACCAGGCGCCGGAAGGACATCACCACGTGGGGTGGCATGGCACCGACAAATGTCCGACTCGGTTTAGCTGGGGCGGGGCTGGAAAGAGAGGGGCACCAGATTACTGCTGCCAGATCGGCCCTACTTGCCCAAAGCAAGATTTAAAATACCCATCCAGATGGAGTCTGTTGACCATCAATCATAAGGTAACATCCCAAAATAGAAACCGTAAACGCTCTTGCCATACACCTTTGAAACTTAAATGTCCAACATTTTAGCATTCTATTTAACGTTAGTTTAAGGATTTCAAAACCACACAAGGTTCTAAAACAATGAACTAAACTAGGTAAAACCAAGGCAAAGTGAATAGAATTCAATGCACTTAAGGTAAATTCTGAACACCAGTTTTTAAAAATCTGAGCCTGGATGGGGCTGGTCCCGTGGCCGAGTGGTTAAGTTCACGCGCTCCGCTGCAGGGGGCCCAGTGTTTCGTTGGTTAGAATCCTGGGTGCGGACATGGCACTGCTCATCAAGCCACACTGAGGCAGCATCCTATATGCCACAACTAGAAGGACCCACAACGAAGAATATACAACAATGTACCGGGGGGCTTTGGGGAGAAAAAGGAAAAAATAAAATCTTTAAAAAAAAAAAATCTGAGCCTGGAAAAATACTAGCTAAGAGGAGGGAACACAAGGGTCACTATCCAAATATTCTCTCTCCACTGGCGGGCGAAGCTGGACACCTGAGCGAGCCCAACACAGACCCAGGCTTGCTTCTGTTCTCGAATGCTTCCCAAATGGTGGGCATCCGGGAACCTGGTGCCGCAGTCTTAAACGAAGCCAAGTGCACATGTCTGAACATCAGGGCTTTCTTTTTAAGCTGAAACATAACTCTTCTCTCTCTCCCCAAAAAACATAACTACTAAATAATGGCCAAAATAGTCAGCAAGAAGTGAGAGCTCACTGAAGGGGTCATGACCAGCTGGCTCAACTAGAATTCTTAGGAGGGTGGAGAGAGGGGAGACGTGGGAGGGAGGGCCCGGTCCAAAGCTCCAGCTGTCAAGGGCCAGTCTGACTTGCCATCCTGCTCTAGGACACTGTCCCGGGGGACAGTCACCACGTGGGTACTCAATAAGAAAGGGCATGCACTTTTCAAACTGCTTCTGCATAGACAGCAGTTTACCACTGAAGCTCAGCTCAGTTCAGGTCAGGAGCCCACCTGCCACCAGACTCTTTGCTACCAGCAAAACTGAAAATGCTTCCTCCCCAGTGCCAGTGCGGCCTGGAAGGTCAAGAACCACCACTGGCCCTGGTTTGAGGCCCCAATTTCACAGCTCCTCCAGGAATCCCTGCTCCCCACTACAGCCTCTGGAGCCAAAGAAGGGTCACAGTGCCTTCCTACCCAGCAGCACCCTCTGGCCTCTGCCCTCCTCTCAGCTCCAACTTGTGGCTCTTGATCAGAGCAGCATCCATGACCGGGAGCTGAGTGGACGAGCTATCCAAGGGGCTCCTAAAGGATTTTAATGAGTACTGGGTTTTGTTTTTTTTTTTTTTGAGGAAGACTGGCCCTGAGCTAACATCCATGCCCATCTTCCTCTACTTTATATGTGGGACACCTGCCACAGCATGGCTTGACAGCAGTGCACATGTCCGTGCCTGGGATCCAACCTGGCAGCCCAGGGGTTCACCAAAGCCGAGCATGCAAACTTAACTGCTACGCCACAGGGCAGGCCTCTTAATGAGTATTGTTTTGACAGTGATAATACACTTAATATGTTATGATGTGTTTTCATCTTGTAATTTCACCTTTAGCCACCCTGTTCAGTAAACACGGCAACCACTTTTAACTCTATGGGACACACGAGAAAACTCAAAGCTGTCGAGTTCCTAAAGCAGAGACAGGAGTCCGACCTGAGCCTTCCCACGCCAGCCATCTTTTCTCGCCACAGTCAACCACACTAGAAGCCCACGGCTGCTTTGGCCCACATGAGCACAAGGAAATGACTAGTGGGTGGAAAGTGTAGCTAGCTGTTCCTGGAGGGGGACAGGCACAAGGGACCCCAGAGGGCGCTTCTGAATGCCACAGGCTGACAGGATGCCTGCCAATGGGCCGTCTGACAACATTATAAAATAAAAGCTGTGGGTCTCGTTCCCTTCCTTCAGGCCCAGGAAAACAAGGAAGGTGAGGAATGACCTGGCAGGTGGCCCCTGCCCACAGGAGGCGGCCCAGCCCCACTCTCTGCTTCTCCACGCCCCTCGCGCTGCTCTGCGGGAGCTGCTCCTCCCGTGCTCGGCACATTCTCCCTGACAAACCCTCATTTCTCTGGCTCTTTCATTAACTTGCCATGGGGGAAAACTAATGTGTTATTGTTTGTTATATGAACTGAACAGTTTTGTTCTCGGTTCTTAATTTAAAAAACAGATTATACACACTTTATAATTACCTAACAAAACAAACAAACTCTACTACATTAAGAATAGCCAGATCTGAGCGATGCTTTGTACATGAGGCCCTCAGCATGCTGGTACTGGTATTGCCTGTTAGCTTCGGTGGCCTGGTTTCCGCTGCAGCCATGGGCTCCCCATAGAAAGTCACCCAGCCCCGCCCCCAGAGGAACCAGGGCAACCACACCAGCCTCCAGCCAAGTGGGGAAATCAGACACCTTGGAGACAGCCCACCCCAGGCGCTTCTGCAGGGACTCCCTCTCAGCTCTAGTGGGCTGCTCTGAGGACCTGTGCGAACACTCCTTAAGGCTCCATGGCCTCGGCCAAATGGCTGATTCTCACATACACTTGACCCACACTCTTTCCTGGTGAAAGAAGCAGGCTCTCAAAAGCCAGAGTGGCCTGGACTTCTCCATGTCCTGCCCTCCACACACGTTCATCGGTGGAGTCACGGCTGGTTTTACACCCCTGCATTTCTGTTACTATAAAGAAACCTGGCAAATTATAAGAAACAGCTGGGCTCAACCAGAGAAAACAAGAAATGTGATAAACATGTGAGATATGCCGGTTTCAGAAAGAAAGTCTGCTAGTAAAAAGCAACCCAGGGCAGCTTTTACGTGTTTCCTTTTCTCACTTCTAGCAAATTCTTCTCTATTTGCTTGACAGGTGGCGGGGGGGCCGGGGGGGCTGGGGGGGCAGACACAAAAACAAAGAGAACATGCAGACAGCAACAGAAACCCGAATACACAGTATTTCTGAGTTACAGCCCGAGGCCAGACTCCTGCTGGTAAGAGCACAAGAGAGATGTTCCAGGGGTGCCAGCTGGAAGCCACAGCATCTTCTGGGGTGCTCAGGAGAACTCAGGCAGCTGGGTGCTGCTCACACAGACAGACACATGGAAGACAGACAGATGACAGACGAACCAGGAATGGCAGCTCCTCCCACCCCTCTCCCTGGGAGGCACGGGGGAGTGGGCGGTCAGACACCACCCCACAGCTGCAGGTGCCAAAATCAACATGACTCCCCTTTCCACAACACCTCCCAGGTCACCCTGAAGGGCATCCCTGGGGTCTTAGAGAATAGGCACCCTCGCCTCTTATAGGGAGGTGCGAGCACTCTGCCAGTTCCCCATGGGGCCCCAGGAGCTGCACCACATGGGGCAAGGGGGGGGGGTCACGAGAAGCTGGAGTCTGAGGACTCAAAATGGAAAAGTGGAAAACAGGGCTGACCCCCAGCTTCCCTCCCTCGCTGGGGACCTCTGCTTAGGGTGGGAGGGTGGGCTTGCTGCCTGGGCTGGAGATGGACGGCTGAGCAGGCAGTCAGAGCCACGACTCCCAAATGGGACAGAGAGAAGAGGTGAAGTAAACTGCCCGAGGCCACAAAATCACAGGAGAGGCAGCAGTCCAAACCCGCCCAGGCTCGCAAGCCCAGGCGATGAGGAGTATCAGCCACAGGGAGCAGCGAGAGCGCCATCACACCATAACTCAATAGCACTTCACAGGCTACCTGCAGGGCTGCCCCAGGACGCAGGCGAGGGGGAGAGGCCCAGCAACCCTCGGCCATCCGAAGGGATGCTGTACAGGCACTTCAAAATGAGACATGAAAACAGGAAATGCAAGGCTTTTGTTCCCAGTGTATTCTAAGAATGTATCCCAAGGAAGCATCAGAGATGTACATAAAGATGCAGACACGGGGGCGCACGGCAGAGTTCTTTATAACATGGAAACACCGGAAACAAACCAAATGGTCAAGAAGAGGTCTGAGAAAACTGGGCACACATGTGTGGTGTTGGGGCCCCAGAACAACTGTGGGGGCACATGCTGACGGGGAGAAGCTTCCACAACACCACTAAGGGAAGAAGGACGGCCAGTCACAAAGGAGACTTGAAGGTCAACGTCCAGGTGTGATTTCTCTTTCTTCTTAGTGCTTCTCAATTTTCTCCAATTTTGCTACATGTATACAATACATACAATGAGCATGTATGACTTTTGTAATCAGATAAAAAGTCTAGTAAATGTCATTTATTTTTTAAAAATGGGGATGCTTCAACTTCAGCATTAATATTTTCTTTTATACAAAAAAGTATATAAAAATATACAGAAAATATTTGTTCTGGATGGTGAATCTACAGGACGTTTATAACTGTCTACAGCTCTTTAATCTCTCAAAATCATAGAAGCAAATAAAAATGAGATAACGGCATTCTTCTTTTAATTAAAGCTACTGGTTCATAAAAGGTTTACACAGACAATGAAAAAGTATGTTCTGACAACAGCCATTCAACCGCATGCTGTGCCAGCACTGAGCACTGGGTTCAGTCAGGCCGCACACCTGCGGCAGCAGAGACTGGGTTCCACCTCCTGCCACCCAGTCCCTGAGTGGGAGGTAGTGAGACTGCGATGAGCTCTGCATGGGGGCTCTGCATGCAGCCGGGCGTGAGCCAGGCAGACAGGGTCCCAGTGCCCGTGAGCAGAGCGCCCCTGCAGGCAGGCCCTCCTGGGAGGGCGGTGGAGCTGGAGCACAGAGTGAGAAGGAGCCAGACAAGCATGCGTGCAGGGCAGGAGGCATGGGAGGTGCACAGAACTGCGCTCCCCCAGGGCTGTCTGCGGAGTGGCTGTACTAATCCATTCTCCCGCCAAACATGTGGGAGCAGGACGCCACCCCTTCAAAACAGTTTTTATGTCCCTCACATTATGTGACCCCGAAACCACTCCATCGTAGTAACTTCTTTCAGTACAGAGCTAAATCTTCACGGTCATGGGGATCAGGGCCCTGCCTTGAAGAAGTAAACCAAAAATCTGTCCAGGGCAGATGACTGTGTCCTGAACACCTCCAGGTCCAGAAAGATCAACAGCTCCCTAGGAAGAGACCCACCTTCCCACCACAGGATCCCTTTGGTCACGGGGCTCCCCATCACCCCCAGCAGAAAGCCTGGAGTGATGCTGCGCCAAATAAATGCACTTTGGCCCTGGGTTTTCCCTGTCTCAATTAACCCACTTCATAAAACTGCTCTCAGCCCTTTGACCAAGCTGAGATAACCGCTGTCACCAACCGGCAATGTGAAAGACCCCCAGCCAAGAGCATGGAAACCTGCCTGCTGGTGAGCCAGGACACCCTCCTCCCCGAGAAGGACATGCTGCTCTCAGACTGCTCTGGGAGGCAGGAGCCCAGCCAGAGACCCAGCAGAGACCACTTGTGGTCTAACCACCCAGATGCACGGGTAGCCCACCTGGCATATGGACTCTCAGGACCCGGACACCACCAGGAAGATTACGTCTTTTGTGTCTTAAGAATACTGGTTAAGAGCCCAGATTTTAGAGTCAACAAGGACCCAGCCTGGGACATCCACTCCTTCCTTCCTAGCTTTCTTCACCCGGCTAAGCCTTCGTGTCCATCTGTAGTAACAAGACCTGCAGCAGGGAGCTCGTATGAAAACGACCTGGCACACATGGAGGCAAAAAGCAAACCGCCACGCCATCCTTAGCAGGGTGCTCACCACGGAGCCGCACGACAAAAATTACTTGATAAGAATGATACTTGCATTCAAATGAAGGCGGCTGGTTTCGAAATGAATAAAACGGCACCTGATCCATCACCACCACCCCAGACCCCCCAGACCAAGTTCAACGCAGACCCCAGCGCTTCCTGTCATCTGCTGCAGTGACGAAGGTGTGGGGTGGCAGAAGTGGACCACACTCCCCATGTGGAGGACACTTGTTTCAATACGATGCCTGTGGTTTAGGGGGTTGTTTTCAAAGTTACATTTTTAAGTAACAGCCACTCACGTTGCTTTCATGAGCACTACATTCAAATCAAAAAACCAAAAGGGAAAAACACGCACTTAAGCCCATATCCATATTAGGAAGTAAAATACTACTTTTAAAATGCCATCTGGAGGAACGAAGCTTACCCTCCCAGGCCCACAGTTTAATCCAGTGATTCAGTCTGCCTTGAATGGGGGTTCCGGGACTACAGTGTGAGCACAAGCAAGTCTCCTTTTACAGTGGTCACAGCATAGACCCTGGAACCATCACTAGATTGAGTCACACTTCACATCACAATCTCCCAGGGCACCCTGAAGCCCACTGGCAACGTCTGCGCCCCTGGGCCCAGGATAAGCGCCCCCACTGCCGTTTCCACCCAGGCCCCCAGCACAAATATCTCCCCTCCGGGGTCTGGGAATCCACAGCTCCCCAAATGAGTGACTCCTGTTGCCACCTCGAAGCTCTCGTCCTTTCCCTTTTTGGCAAACTCCTAGTCATCCTTCAAAGCCCAGCTCAATATCACCTCCTCTTTAAAGTCTCCCTTCTCTGCGGCAAGTTGGCTGCTCACCAAGTCCTCCAAAAACCTGGCACTTACACACTGTCATTGTTTGTGTACAGAGGAACCTGCCGGCGGGGGCTGGGCCGGCTCTACCTCAGCGCTATGCACCTCACCCAGCGCCCCGCGCAGGCGGACAAATAAATACAACGGGGGAGGGAGGTGCTCCAGGCGGCCCTGCGGGCCCGGGGAGAAGGGAAATGGATTTACTGGGACGCACAGACCGAGTCCCTTCTAACCACGGCTGAGAGCGGACTCGACGAACTCAACACCCTCCCGGGCTCCGGTCGCTCCCCGAGCGCCAGCACCGCCCGGCCCGGCGCCCGAACGGTGGGGTCCCCGCACGTGACCCGGGCCCCGCGGCCAGGAAGACGACGCCCCGGGAGGCGACAAAAGGGAGGAGCCGGACCCTCGCGGCGGCGGCGGGAAGAGGAGGCCTGGACGGCGGGGTGTACCTCGGCAGCCAGCGCTCCGCTCCTCCTCTTCCTGCTCCCCTCCTCCTCCTCGGGTCGCGCCGGAACCGGAACCGGAACCGGAAGCGCGGCTGCGCGCACCCCGCGTCCTTGCCCGTCGCGTCCCCCGGCGCGGCCTGGGGCCCTCGCGTTGGGTTCCGGTGCGGACGGCCGGCTGGTGCCGGAGGGCGGCCCGCAGAGCGGGGACTTTTGCTTTTATTCTCGTTTAACTTAGCAGCCGCACGGCCGCCTCCCGGGGCCCGGGTCCGCGGGCTCCCTGGGCGCTGAGCGGACACCAGCCGAGCTGGGGAAAGTCGTAACTCCCGGGCAGCAAAGGAGGCGTCTGCCCGACGCAGACTCCCTCTCTTTGGCGGAAATGTGTGGCTTCTTCTCTAAAATAAGAATAAAAATCAAAATCAGGCAAGCCGGATGTGCCGCCGTGGGCATGACTGACGCAGGCCTGACTTTCCCGAGCGCCTCCCTTCCTGGCGGGGCGCGGAGGCCCCTCTGGAGGAGGGTTTCCTGGGAGACAGGAGCTGGGTCTGGGGGCCGGCCGTGGGCCCGCCGCCACCGCGGGGTCACGCGGAGAAGGGGCATCCGGGCCTCCGTCTGCGTCCACAGCTGCTCCAGGAAGGACGGGCCGGAAACCTCCAGAACCAGGGCGACGCGGCTCAGGGATGGGGAGCGGGAGAGCACGATGCGGAAACGTGCCCTTCCGGGGGATCAGGAAGGGAAGAAATCAAAGAAATTCGAGAAAATGAGCAAAACTAAGGGGCATGGGCTTCTGGGTCAAAGGCCACAGGGCGCCTGGTACGTGAGTGAAAGTGGCCCGCAGAAACTTAGCCAACAGCGTGGGGTGTTGAAGACCCTAAACTGCCCACGGGACATCGCACTCACACGTCCAAGAGAGTCGCTCCCACGACGTGATCCACCTGAACTCAGGGCCTGAATGTTGTGTCCCCCGCATTCATAGGTCGAAGCCCTAACCCCCAATGTGATGTGGTAGGAATTGGGGCCTTGGGGAGGTGCTTAGTCATGAAGGGAGAGACACCACAAGTGGGATTAGTGCTCTTATGAAAGACGCCCCAGAGAGCTCCCTTGTCCCTTCTGCCATGTGAGGACACAGTGAAAAGATGGTATCTATGAGGAAGAGGCTCCCACCAGACACCGTATCTGCAGGCACCTTGATCCTGGACTTCCAGCCTCCAGACTGTGAGAAAAACGTGTCTGGTTTGTAAGCCCCCCAGTCTGTGAGCTTCTGTTACAGCCTCCGGAACAGACCAAGACAGTGCCCTAAGCAGTTGCCCACAGCCGTCCCGTCTCCTCCATCACCCCTGGTGCATGTCTAGTCCTGTTGGCTTGACCTTCAGAATCTTTCAGAAGCCAGCCACTTCCCCCATCTCCACTGCAGCCACCCTGGGAGGCCCTCTTTCACACCCGAATCACTAGAACAGCCTCCTGGCCTCCCCACTTGCACCTCCCCCTCAGTCTGTTCCAGCGCAGCAGCCAGAGTGGCCCAGTTAAAAGCTGAGTCAGATCCCAGCTTCCTGGCTGTCCCCACCTCCTGTGCCCCCCAGGGGACCCCCACCTGACAGTGGGAGCGGTCATCCTCAGGAAGACAACACTGATGGGATGTCTGGTGTGTTTGCCCATTAGAGGAGATTTGAACAATCGAGGGAGAGTTTGGGCATAGAAGATGGATAAATACAGAGAAAACTGATCAAGAAAAAAAGGCGATGGTGGAATACTAGGAAAACAGAGATGTGCAGCCAAGGGGAAGTGATCATGTTATTCTAGGAGGCTCAGTTCCCAGCAGCATTCACAAAACGGCAATAATGTAAACATTTATAATGTAAACACTGATGTGCAAACATTGGTGTTGATCTAACTGAGTTTATGGCAGACTCTTGTGGGGAGGGATGGGGGTGCAGGAAGGGTGTGGGGTGGAACACGGGGTATGGTGGGAGAGCGTGAACCCTGAGTGTCCATCACAAGAGCAAACAGTGACAGCAGTGACCGTGAGGCTGCTTAGACACATGAGGGTAAATATCAAGAGAATTGTCCCACGTTGTCACCTCCAGTGATCAGGAAGGGGAGGGTGGTTCCTTATACTGTGTGGATTATAACTGGTGAACTGTGGTAAATAGACTGTAGTGTAATTTTAAAAGGGAGGGGACAAGGAAACGCTTCAGGGGTGTCCATGTCAGTCTTCAGGGAGCCCCTGCCCAGCACTGTCGTCACCTCAGCTGCATTCTTGCCTCTGGTCCCCTAAACACTCCAAGAGGATTCCCAGGGGTTCAATTTGCACCAGGCACAAGATGGGAAAAGGAACCAGATCACCACCCACGTGCAAATCCTATCATCAAGGCTCCAACCCCCACGGAAGAACATGGACCCTAAGTGCTCCCCTTGGCCTCCCAGGCCTTCTGGGACAGATGGGCGGGTGTTGCTGCAGGTGCTAATGTGCTCGGTTGTGTCCCCAGCATGGGGTGTAGACAGAGCCCTTCCCTCCTGTAGCTTACAGCTCAGGAGAAGGAAAGTGAATGAATAGACAAACAAGTAATGTGCTCGGGGATGAGGTTATGGATGAATGTGTGTGTCCCCCCAAATTCACCTCTGGAAACCCTACCCCTTAATGTGAAGGCGTTAAGAAGTGGGGTCTCTGGGAGGCAATCGGGATTAGATGAGATCTTGAAGGTGGAGCCCCGGGATAAGATTAGGGCCCTTCCGAGAGTCATGAGAGAGCTTGCTGCCTCCCTCTGCTCTGTGCCCTGGGACACACAGAGAGAGGACGCTATCTGCAGACCCAGAAGAAGCTCTCTCAGACGGCAGGTCTGCTGTGCCTTGATCTTGGACTTCCTGAGGCCCCTGAGAATGATATCTGCTGTTTACGCCCCCGTCGTCTGTGGTGCTCTGTTATAGCCGCCGGAGCTAAGACAGAGAAGTGATCTGAAGGGAAACGAAGCCAGTCAGGCGATGGAGAAGGCTTTCAGACACAGAGGCCCCAGGGCCCTCTGAGGAGGTGCGTGGGAGCAGGGCTCTGCGGGCAGCGGGCCATGTGACGGTCTGGCAAAGGGCTGCATGGTACCCATTTTACAAATGAGGAAACTGAGGCTCAGAGAAGTCACATCACATGTCCGTGCTCACATTCCTACAAAGGGGCAGAGCTGGGATTTGAACCCAGAACTCCAGGTCCCGTGCCGCTGCTACATGCCTCACCTCTTGTGAGATCAAAGGAACAGACACGTGTCCCTGTGCTGAAGACCAGACTCCCTACACCAGGCCAGACCGTCTCCTGCAGGCTCTATCCTCAGAGGCGTTATTCATTATAGCCACAAACCAAGAAACAACCTAAGTGTCCTACCCCTGGCTTCTAAATTAGGAGACAGCGAGATAATGAGAGACGCATGGCCATCACAAGGATAATAACAGAGTTATATAGAAACCCTACAATTGCTTATAACCATCTATGGTTGAATAAAAATAGCGTAAAAGGGACCAGCCCAGTGTCGCAGTGGTTAAGTGCGCACGTTCCCCTTTGGTGGTCTGGGGTTCGCTGGTTTGGATCCCAGTTGATGACATGGCACCGCTCATCAAGCCATGCTGTGATAGGTGTCCCACATAGAAAGTAGAGGAAGATGGGCATGGATGTTAGCTTAGGGCCAGGCTTCCTCAGCAAAAAAGAGGAGGACTGGCAGTAGTTAGCTCAGGGCTAATCTTCCTCAACAACATCAAAAAAAGCATGAAAATAATTTCCCAAATCCTACAATTCAAAAATTACAACACAAGGGCTGGCCCCACGGCTGAGCAGTTAAGATCATGCGCTCCACTTCCATGGCCTGGGTTTTGCAGTTCAGATCCTGGGCGCGGATGTGGCACCACTCATCAGGCCAAGTTGAGGCGGCGTCCCACATGCCACAACTAGAAGGACCTACAACTAGAATATGCAACTATGTACTGGGGGATTTGGGGAGAATAAGGAAAAAAGAAGAAAAAGAGGAAGAAAAAGATTGGCAACAGATGTTAGCTCAGGTGCCAATCTTTAAAAAAAAATTCTAGTAAAAAAAATTACAACACAAAATTATGTGTACAGTAGAATTTCCCACGATGTCTGTGGACAGGTTCTAAAGGATGGCATGAAAAATGGGAGCAGCTGTCTTACAAAGAGATGAGCACCTGCACCTGCTCCCAGTGCTGCCTGGTGAACCCACGCATTCTCCCCGCACCTTCGATTTGGTGGGAACTGGCCCCAAATGTACATTGCCGACAGCTTTCTTCCACCTTGGTGGCTTAGAGCTGGGAGGCCTGCATCACCTGGGAGGAGAAGACCTCGCTGCTCCTGGAGCCCTCCAGAGGGAGTTCCACCTGTTCCGAACCTGAGCTGCACTTGGATTGGACCCTGGGAGAGGTGTCCTTGGGAAGGAGCCTTGGGTGGGCAGGGCCTCCACAGGGCCGGGTGGCGCTGGCCACTCAGTCTGCATCTGCTTCCACCTGGGAGCCCCTGCGAATATAAGGGAGCTCGCCGGTGTCTAATCCTCCCGTCTAAAAGATGGGGAGATGACAGCTCTCACCTCAGTTCCTAGTTTAATCCTGCTGTGAGGATCAGGGAGCCAGGACACTTAAGCTCTTCATAAATGTTAACTGCTGTTACCGTCCTCTGCTGTCGTTATCAGCATCTTTATCGCCAGCCCCCTCAAACAGAGACCCGAGTGGGCGCTCAGTAAATGGATGTTGATGCATGGGGATGGCTTGTCCAGAAGGCAGACAAGAGGGGTTGCGGCCTCTGCAAGGGGTGATGGCTCCCACCTGCCCCTCCGGGAGGCGGGCCAAGCCTCCCCACCCCGACAACTTGGGCAGAGCTCGGGTGTAGCTCAGCCTCACCCCCCATCCCCTCCCAACCCCCAGCCTTCCCCAGAGGAAGTCCTTCCAGCTGGAGCATCCTGGGAACTGGCAGAGGCGGGAGGAATCACC